CGTTACATCCTCCCCCTTTAACTGAGAATCACCTGATTCTCCAATCAGAAGTGAGAGAAATAAAACACCCAAAAGGTGAATTCTCACACTGAGCCGCCACGAGACTGGCGCGGCTCTCAGTCACACCCACAGTGACTTGTGCTCCCAAAGCTCACTGGAATTTGCATCCCTATGCCCACAACTATGTTGGCCGCAAAGCCTACACTGAGAGCTGCATTAGCTCCTGCGCTAGCGCGCGTACAGTGCTTTGGCACAGGGTGCAATATCATTCGAACGTGTAGCATTCGCCCGCAGCTCGCACCAGAGGACACGACAGTCCTCGCGAACGCGTCCGGAGCATGGTGTCTCCCGCGAGGGACGACACCGAGAAGGGCAACACCTTCCCCAGCACTAGAGGGGGCTCTCCTCTCACCTCGGGCCATGCCTTTGGCTCCAGCAAGGATCCATCCTTGCGGGCAGAGCTTCTGCCACGCTCTCTTCGCATCTTGGCCGTCATACCAGCGGCGCGTAGGTGTCCTTCATCGACACCGTGTAGCGTGACGGTACACAGCCGTGGCGTAGGTGTCTCCCATCGACACCATGTACCGTACAGTACTAACCTTTGGTGCGGTACGTTCACCACAAAGTTGTCATGTTTGGCGGCAACAGCTTCTGCTGTGCTGTCGCCTGAACTGAATCATGGCCAGTGCTCGCATCGTGCACGACGCATGTGCAAGCACAGTGTACAGGTCCATGGGCCCGTACACGAGATACGCTGTGTACGACACGTACCACAGCTACCATAAGTGCTCCGTACACTTCATGTGTGTCATGCACGACGCGTTCATTACGTAGAACTCCCAGCAGACTGCTCGACAGCAGCCAGTGCCGATGCACGGAACGTGCGTTGACTCACAGCGTATACGCCCAGCGCGCATCGGGTCGTGGTATGGTGCATATTATTTGCACCTATACCAGTGTCTGTCACAGACACCATATACCTTGATGGTACTCGACCGTGGTGGGGAATATCTCACCACCATGCCACCGCGGCGTTGGTGTCTGGCATTTACACCGAATACTCACGGGTACCAAACCATGGTGAGGCAAGCAGCCATCACCACGGTGTCGTGCTTGGCGCGGCATCAGTTACGACGCCTCGACCACCACCTGGTCAGTTGTGTGTGCACTCGTGCACCACACTTGGGTTATGGCTTCACGGCCCATTATACCCGGCGCGTTGCGTACATCACGTACCGCAACCGCTTTGTCGGCGGGTGAGGCGCTCCGTTCACCCTACTCGACAGGTCGTTCATGACCAAGGGACCAGTCCGGTGATTGCACTAGGTCCGCGCTTCGCCTCGTGTGTGGTTGCTTGCAACCCCAACACTGCTGATTCGCTCAGCGATTCCGAGGCACCTGCACCAGTGGCTTTTGCCGCCACTATGTCTTGTTCGGCTAGAGCTACCGCAGCTCTAGCCCGGCTGTTCGCCTCCAGCCTGCAGTCGAGGCTTACCTCAAGACCAGGGAGGAAAGGTATTTCCGAGCCTCTCCCTCACTTACACGTGAGACCATTGAGGCTCTCGTGGCTTGTGATAGCCACTGGCAGCACGACGGCTACCTGCGTCGTTGAATGTCAGGGAGGAAAGGTATTTCCGAGCCTCTCTCCCCCTTAACATCGAGACTATTGAGTCTATCGTGGCTTCTGATAGCCACTGGCAGGTGCGATGGCTCTCTGTCCTGTGCGCGGTATGGACGACCGCGTCGGCCGTGTCGACCGAAGGCGCCCAGCCTTCGCGTCAGCAGTTTGAGTCTGCGCGACTTGACGTCGAGCGAGTTGCTCACGTCTGGCGAGTCCAAGACATCTCGCGCCTCGAGCCAATGGCTTTGTGTGCGACACTATGCCTTGGGTGTGGAACTCTGTTACCCACACCGGAAGCGCATACAGCGACTTCCTTATCAGTTATGGTCTGAGTGACCTTGCGTGGAACTTTGTTACCCACGCTCGGAGCACCGAATGTCGGTCTCCTTAAGCAGCTTCGCTGTTGCGGAACTTGCTACCCGCAATGTGGACCTATGTTACCCAGCCCTATGGCACCACCACTGTCGAAGCGCATACGGCGCGACGACCTTCGGTGTTGGGATCAGCTGGCGTGGCAGACCCGCACACACACCGGACAGAGTTGGTGTCCACCGACCGAGTCAGAGGAGTTCGGGCCCTGGACTCCGAGTCGCTTGAAGCGACGTCGGCCTGAACAAGGTTTAGACCCGACTTGCGGCGGCTGTCGTGACGTGGTACTTCGTTACCCACGTCGTGATGTCTCGTTGACGACATCAGAGGCACTCGAGACCTCGTGTGGCACTGTGTTTCCCACACAGGAAGCATGAACAACGCCTTCCTCTTCAGTTAAGGTCTGGGCGACCGTGTGGTCCTAAGTTACGCACCGGGTTAGCGCTTAAAGGCATAACCCCTGTCGAAGCCCGTACGGTGCGACGACCTTCGAGCAAAAGACCCATGCCCGTGGCATTGCCGCAGTGGAGCATGGTCTTGCTGTACGCAGAGCTGTTGGTGCGTTGACAGCTCCGTGACGCTTCTGCGTCCTGGCGGTCTGTATCAGACGCCCCAGTCATGACGGAGGTGGGAACATGACTCACCAATGCCCCGCCATAGACCTGGACTCGTAGGCCCTTCTCAACCTTGCAACACCAAAGTCCGGGCTGTGTCTTATGTTCGGCACAGCCATATTGTTCATGGCGAGAACTGCGAGCGCCACCACGGTGCGCGAGTTCATCGAGCCCAAACGTTTAGGTCCGTTGAGGACCATTGGTACTTCCTTCACCGTACCAAAGGCTAGTCCACCAATGACCTGCCCACGACCGCCTCTCTGACATAGCGTGCTGTCGGGTGTCGCTATACCAAGCGACGTTCCGGTGACGTGTCAACGCCCCAGAACTCATCAAACGTTCAAGGGGTACCGTACTCCCGTACACTGAGTGTACTACCAGCAGCCCATCACTGCCCTTCACCGGTTTGAGAGAACCACGTCCCTCTGGGCTAAGTCCCGTGGTGTGCACAACCTGCACACCCATCACGAAGACTTAGCATTCTTCAGTAGGGCGTACCGCCTCTACTGGTGGCCGGGGGTCTTCGCTCACCTGGCCGTGGCCTGCGCCACCGGACCTGAAGTCCACGGGCTGTCTTCTTCTTGAGGACTGGTGAGGGACACACACGCTGGTAGCGTCCATGTCCGCCGCATCCGTAGCAGCGGACCAAGCTCTCGGCTGAGCTTAAGTCCATGGGTTTGGACCCGCTGTACGCACCGGTATCAACGGGCTGCGTGACAGCAGGAGGAACAGCGTCATTGCTGCGATGCTCCGCCTCCCGAGAAACGCCATTCTCATCGTGGCGATGCTCCTCTTCCCGAGGAGTACCAGCCTGCTTGTGGCTGTACTCTTCTTGGAGGGCGATTCGAATCGCCTCCTCCATAGTTGTCGCTTGCACCCGGAATAGCTGGGTGCGAGCAGGACCGACCTTCAGGCCGTCCATGAAGACTGTTGTATTGACGTCGTCAGGCAGAGGATTCCCTGCCAGAGACGCCACCAACGTGCGCATCTCTTGCTCGTACTCCTGCAGCTCACGTTTACCTTGCTTGCACGCGAGAAAGCGTGAGCGCTGGTGGAACTTATTGGTCGCCGGTAGGAGCGCGGCTCGAAGCTGCTCACACAGCTGAGCCCAGGATGCAAAGCATCCGGGAGATGTCGTCTCCCTGGTGTATGCCCAGTGCTTGGCACGTCCACCAAGGTTGGACAGGGCAAACGCCACCCGCAGTGACTCGTCCGAGATGAGACCCGCCTTCATGGCGATCTCCACCTCACGGACCCAGAAGTGAAGGTTCTCTCCTTCCTTCCCCTCAAACGCTGGGACCTTCAGCCATACCGGCTTAGGCCTGGTTGCCTGGGGAGCGGCCATCGAGGCCTCCAACCTCCCGCGGACGTGAGCGATGAGACCGCACTCGTAGGTTTCAAACGCAGTCACGCGTTCTTGTTGCTCAGTAGGCGTCGCCGCCGACAAGCTGCGAAGGACATCTTGTCCAAAGATGCCTCCCATCTTCCGAACAGACTCGTACTGTGAGTCGTTCAAGCGAGGAAACTCGCTTCGGTCCATCGTGGCTCAAACGCTGAGCGCACAGAGGATTCAGGTAGTTCAATCTACCCGCGATGGTGTTGGATTGACTCCTAGTGCTACCAAGTGTGACGGGGACACACAGCACCTTGCACAGAGGAAGTGCTTAAGGGTATTAACTACCCGAGTGAAGGTTAGTCCACGTGTTCCCGGCCTCAAAGGGAACGATTTGCTACTTAGAAGAGTAGATTTAAGACTGATGTATTTATAAGTAAGGTTAGCTTGGTTTCCCTACAAACTAGAGGTTACCTATAGTGGAGCTAAGTAGTCATGCCCTGACTGGCTCCGAAAGCACCTGGTACACGGTACCAGGTGTCCACAAGAATGACGGGTCACTCTTTATGTAACATGGGGCACACTGGATTGTACCCCGTAACACCAATGGATATGTAGAAGTTTTACGCCTGTACGACCGCGGATTTAGATGCCCGATCTGGCTGGGAAAATTTGGTTGAATGGTCCTCTTATTAGCGAATCAAAAAGGGAGACAGTCGGGAGATTAATAGCCTGGCGTGGAGGCATATGGAGATCATGAAACCGAAATGCGAAGAACTGACGAGGATCTCTAGAGATTGCCGTTTCGTCTCTTATTTTAGGAGATTTTGCGGAGGAGACGGTAATACTGGTAGAACTGTCTCCCTTTCCGCACGGGAGACAGTATTACCGGTAAGACCGCCTCGCCCTTGGTTTTTCTTGTTTTTCTGCGTGGTTTTATTATCTAACTGCGAAATAAGAGCATCTAAAAAATTCGTTGAATCGCGCTGATTAGTTTTATGTGCGTTTTGTATGAAACTCGGAAAACAATAATTTGGTCAAACGAAGGGGGTACGTCGAAGTAATGGCTGAAAAGGAAGCGTTCTCCCCAGTAGCGCGGCAGTCGCCCGACACGTCGAGCCGCATCTGCTCGGCGGTAACGCTATTCCCCCTTTACGCGGCGCAGAGGCTGCTGTCGTGTCTGGGCTACACGCACTCTGTCCGTATGCAGAGTGGTCGAACGTACGCCGGTTCTCCAAGTTGCTACGTGAGTCATTGCAACTGATTGACCTGTTGGTGCTGTAGGGTGATAGTCAGCTCAGAGATTACACAGGGAGGCTTTTCCTTCGTTTATAAGGCCATAGACACCGACACGGGCGAGCCCTTTGCGCTCAAGAAGATTCTATGCCAGACGAACGAGCAGGTGCAACTGGCCAAAGCGGAGATCCAAGCGCTTAAAGCTTTTACCCACCCGAACATTATGTCACTCCGCGACTACGCTGTGGTGTCTACTGGGGCGGACTCTTTCGAGTATTATCTGCTGTTTCCGTTCATGGAGGTGTTTCAGTCTTAAAGTTTTGCAAAACTTGTGGGGTTGGGACTTACTTTCTTCTGTTGCGCACAGAATGGAACGCTACGTACTATGATTAACAATGCAATCAGGCACTTCATGAGTTCTTACTCTGGGTTGTGCCAACAGTTTACTAACGTTTTTCTGGTTGCTACGAGAACAGTCAAGACGTTCGAATCCCGGAGGTGCAGATTCTAGACATGTTCCTCCAGGTTTGTCGCGCTGTAGCAGAGCTACACTCTAAGTCGCCACCGCTTGCACATCGCGATATTAAGGTAACATAACTACTCTACTGGATGTGTGGTAAAAAAATAACTGACTATTTTCAGCCCGAAAATGTCTTGCTATCTGACGAGGGTGAGCCGCTGCTGACGGACTTTGGCTCTGTCACCACAGCTGACGTCGTCATCTCTAAACGATCCGATGCGCTATTATTGCAAGAGCACGCTGCACAACAGAGCTCGATGGCGTATCGTGCACCAGGTACGGCGGCATGGCCAACCGATTTACTGCTGCTCACTGTCAACTCATGATGTTACTGTGTTCTAGAACTCTATGATGTGCCTGACAATGGCCATATTTCCAGCGCGACTGACATTTGGTCGCTGGGCTGCCTGCTGTTTGCTATGGCGTTCGGGTATTCGCCGTTCGAATGTTCTTTCTACGACTCGGGCGTCGTGCGCGTGGTGGAGTGCACATACCTGGCGGTCATCGGGCCTATCAAGTTCCCGAAGAACTGCTCATACTCATCCAAGCTCTGCGAGATGATTCGGTGGGTGTACTATCTGCGGTGTGTCGGGGCTGTAAGGGGGATTAGTGAGCTTGTTGTTGTCGTTGCCATGCTTGGTATAGGTGGATCCTGACTCAAGACGCAACCGCGAGACCAACAGTATTCGATGTGATTGAGCGGCTGCACAACCGTAACGATTAAATGTTTATGATTGTGCCGTTTACCATACCATAGACTTGAATCTCCTTAAACACCGCTACCGTTCTCTTCATCTATCTCAACCGCGTTAAGCTATACGACTTACAACTATGCTCGAGTGCACTCTATTAAGGTAACCCTAATATTTAATGACAAAATAATGGACCAAAAGCTAGCGCCTTAGCATACACGCACGAATTATTCTGGGAGGCTGGCTGAACAGCCTAACCAATCTTATTACAGCGGCCTTTATTTCGCGAATGTCCATAGTCCACCATCGAATTTTCTACGTTGAAATCGTTGATGATTGATTCTCTGCATTTTTTTTAAATCTTTAAAATGAAGTCTTCGAAGTAATAGTTTGGCTTTACAGTTCGACAGCGGTGATCGACGTATATACAACTTTCAAGCAAGATTAACTACCCAATTTGTTCTGCTTAAGAATTAAAGTTTGGGAAGCGTTGACAGCCCTCTTAGGAATGATCTTTTATAAAAGATTGCCAATTTGCTGGTTGTACTTCTCTTTCCAGGAGATTTGTCTAAATTTGCTGCATAGGAATCGTGCAATGCAAAAACTATAATCGCTCTCGTTTTTGTCTTGTATCTGGCGGTACGTGTTGTGCCCTTTTTGGCTTCGGTGATGCCGTACCAGCGAGCGTTCATATGCATCAGCTCCCTCTCGAATAGAGCGATATTGTCTCTAATTGTAACGGGGTACAATCCAGTGTGACCCATGTTACATAAAGAGTGACCCGTCACTCTTGTGGACACTTGGTACACGGTAGTCAGGGCATGACTACTTAGCTCCACTATAGGTAACCTCTACACCTTTGCCAATCCAAACTGGTGGTAGTGTAAACCAAAACGGAGTGTCCCTTATTTCGAAATTTATTTTTTTAAAAAATTAGAAATCCCCAAAATTAATCCAGACCAATACGGATTTAGTGTCAAGCAAAATGATGAAGTATTTCTTGTTCGATGGTCGCCTCGATAAGAGTATCTTGTCTTCTACAGTACTGCACATGCACCACGTACATTACATTAGTGCATTGGCTATAGTCACGAGCGCCCCGCACCGGACGCCGTTATAAGTGTACGAACTCTTCTTAACGCTGACCGTCCAGGCAAGCAGCCCCAACACGAGCGCTTGATGGCACGTCAATCGCTGAGGCGCCGTTTTTGATACGTAAACTCAGAGCTGCAACCCCTCTCCTTCCATTCCCCACGGCCGGTTAACATCTGCAAGCGCAGCCCAAAGCTCTGATCCTTGATGTACTCTGTCTACTGAAGTCGGGTCTTGGTCCCTCTATCGATGATTATGCAGGCTGTACAAGCTGAGAGGTCACTGTGTGCACCCACACTCTCGTGTTCTGGCGCCCATACGCAGGTTCACGCCCCCTTACATCTTTGTGTGTACTTCAGTCCGCAGCGAGCCCGTAGTTCGTATTGCTGGATGTGTCACTCGCGTTCTTGCCAGTTTGCACTACATTAAATCTACATTGCTCTAAAACCTAATTTTGTAAAATTATTCCTCAAATTTAGATGTTACTTCGGTTACTTCACTCCGTTTTGGTTTACACTACCACCAGTTTGGATTGGCAAAGGTGTAGTTTGTAGGGAAACCAAGCTAACCTTACTTATAAATACATCAGTCTTAAATCTACTCTTCTAAGTAGCAAATCGTTCCCTTTGAGGCCGGGAACACGTGGACTAACCTTCACTCGGGTAGTTAGTACCCTTAAGCACTTCCTCTGTTCAAGGTGCTGTGTGACCCCGTCACACTTGGTAGCACTAGTAGTCAATCCAACACCATCGCGGGTAGATTGAACTACCTGAATCCTCTGTGCGCTCAGCGTTTGAGCCACGATGGACCGAAGCGAGTTTCCTCGCTTGAACGACTCACAGTACGAGTCTGTTCGGAAGATGGGAGGCATCTTTGGACAAGATGTCCTTTGCAGCTTGTCGGCGGCGACGCCTACCGAGCAACAAGAACGCGTGACTGCGTTTGAAACCTACGAGTGCGGTCTCATCGCTCACGTCCGCGGGAGGTTGGAGGCCTCGATGGCCGCTCCCCAGGAAACCAGGCCTAAGCCGGTATGGCTGAAGGTCCCAGCGTTTGAGGGGAAGGAAGGAGAGAACCTTCACTTCTGGGTCCGTGAGGTGGAGATCGCCATGAAGGCGAATCTCATCTCGGACGAGTCACTGCGGGTGGCGTTTGCCCTATCCAACCTTGGTGGACGTGCCAAGCACTGGGCATACACCAGGGAGACGACATCTCCTGGATGCTTTGCATCCTGGGCTCAGCTGTGTGAGCAGCTTCGAGCCGCGCTCCTACCGGCGACCAATAAGTTCCACCAGCGCTCACGCTTTCTCGCGTGTAAGCAAGGTAAACGTGAGCTGCAGGAGTACGAGCAATAGATGCGCACGTTGGTGGCCTCTCTGGCAGGGAATCCTCTGCCTGACGACGTCAATACAACAGTCTTCATGGACGGCCTGAAGGTCGGTCCTGCTCGCACCCAGCTATTCCGGGTGCAAGCGACAACTATGGAGGAGGCGATTCGAATCGCCCTCCAAGAAGAGTACAGCCACAAGCAGGCTGGTACTCCTCGGGAAGAGGAGCATCGCTGTGGTGTAGCGGGATCAGCAAAATCTGCGAGATTGCCAGATCCAACTTACCAACTGTGCCCAGACACCGACTAACGGAGGGGGTCCCCCGATGATCCGTGTTCTGCTGAACTTTCCTCACCTTGTGTACCCGTCGGTAGGGCGGGATCTGCTCTCTCGGTAACTTCCGAAGAGTTCAAGTGGTGAAGCTTGAGTGTCTTGGCGAGACGTGGGGATGGGGTGGAGCAGCAGTGGAAAATCTTCACTCTGCGTCCGTGGATGGCTCCGAATCCTAAGCGAATATTCGAGCTTATGGATCCAGGGTCTAGATCGTGGATCTGGCCGTAGGGTTGCCTTGCGGGTGTGTCCCTTGCCTTCATTTTCCTTCACGTCGTACTTGTCGCCTCCTGTGACGGGATCTTGAGAGTTGAGAACCTCTAAGGTGTAACCGACCAAGTAGTAAATTCGGTTAACCTCTCGGATCTGCACGAGTAAAGGAAAAGCTCACTAGGTTGTAGGATCTGGCCAATGTATTATCCAGTTATCACTACCAACACTAGATTCGCAATTCCCAACCTTCTCCGAGCTCGTACGGCCAATGTAGTTCCGGTTCTTGAGGGCAGGAAGGCACTTGCGTGATACTGTGCAAATTGGGTTCTGTATTGATACTTAAGCCTATACCTGCCTGGATTTCTACCTTCTATGTCTTTTACTTGCTAAATCCCTTACCAGGCTCGGCTGCATGTCCCTTCTTCCCTTGACCCATCATCCCAGCTGTATTATCTTCAGATCCACCAGATCCATGGCGTAATCATTATGGTCACCCTATTATGGGTACACTCATCCGGATCCAGGCTGCTTGGATCCACTTCACTGTAAGTGTACACTCGTCGTGAATCTGAGCTCTCCAATCATCCAACATCATCTTGCAACCATCTGTGATCTCCATGGTCCCACGAAAATTCGAGATCCACTCGTCATCATCCCTGTATCCCGGATCCAGGTCGTCCTATGCGGGTGTGGTGTAGTAGAACACACAAATATCGTCAGATGTGGATTCCTTACACAAACCACAACGAATCGCCGAGTTAGGTCGGCGGTTTGTATGGCCTGCGCAGAGGGTGGCCCCCTCGCGGTCCGGCCCTTCCGGGACAGACGAGTGGCTCGCTTCCACCCGGTTCCGACTAACCAAGTCAGATCACTTCCGAGGCTCCGCCGAGTTTGGTTCGGCTGAGCTCGTTCACAACCCTGTGCCCTCCACCAAAGGATGGACGACGGCGCGCGAGCGCTTTTACAGGTCACCGAGCGCAGAGGCAGCTCAGCTAGAAGTGTTACGGCACCCGGGCTATCCGACGTACCGGCCCGCTGAGTATGCGGGACTTTCTTTCGCGCGTAGCGAGACTTTGTCCTACCCGGACCGACCTAATCTCTTGGCGCTACCAGTCAATACCCTACAAGCTATGCCTCTCGAGTATCGACGGCAGGCATAATCCAGCCCTATGCAGGGACTTACCGGAAAAGTGTACACGTGTCTTGGACTAGGAAAATTCTGCTCTGTTATCTTCTGGGAGCCCTTTCGGCTCCCCCTATTTAATCCTATGCTTCTCATACAAATATCTAATGAAATGTAGTCGTTTCGGATCTCTACCGACCCTTCAGCTGAGTTCCGGCGACCGTTGAGCTCAGCGGCTGTCCGGATAGCATATCCGAACAGATCGCCGAGTACTTACCGTGATCCTTGGCTCCTAAGCTCTGGGTTATCAGACCGAGCCGATTCTTGACCTAAAGTAGGTCGGCGTATGGTCGAATCTGGAAATCCCTACACCACACGGGATCCTCCCTCCTTGGATCCGAACTCGGAAGTATGGGATACGGGACACCTCGCGGTGGATCTTGACTTCTTGTTAGCCGTGGCTACTAGATCCACCTTCCGAGGGCACCTACCATCATTCGTTCCTAGGATCCACACTCGATCCACTCTGATATAGTATATCCCATATCCATCTAAGTGAATCCAGGTAAGGGTGGATCCGAGATAAGTCTTGGTGGATCTTGCCTTCTCGTACATCGCTCATACCAGATCCATTGTCGTTTCACACGGGGTGCTGCTCGTCATGGCTAATCCACCACAGGCAACTTGCATCCGCGCCGGGCGATCCAAATCCTCTCTAATCACTTGAAATTGTCACTGATCCGGGATAGTGACGACTTGGAGGCAGTTGTGGTGTAGCGGGATCAGCAAAATCTGCGAGATTGCCAGATCCAACTTACCAACTGCGCCCAGACACCGACTAACGGAGGGGGTCCCCCGATGATCCGTGTTCTGCTGAA